TTTACTTTAAGACCGAAAAGTGTCTGATGCCCGATTATTTCGAAATAAGTTGGGCTGTTTCGGACATAGCGGGCGTTAGTCGAATAAATAAATAAATTAAATAAGACATTCATATAATGGAAATTGATTGTAGCGAAAAAGCAATTCTATAAATACAAAAGCATAAGAACTGCAAAAAAATGTAATATTTTAATAATATGATGAATTTTTTGCCATCTAAGGCAAAATATAAGCCGTTCAATCGCTTGTAAATTTTACAATCCACATTTATTGGTAATTTTTTTTAATCATTGTTTATTGACATTTATTTATTGGTGAATTAGTTGACAATTTATAGCAAAAGAGTTACCCTGATATTTCAATAGACTTATTGCCTAAATTTCGGCCTACAATTTAAGATTTGTATGCATATTCATAGACATTGATCTTTTAAAAATCTGATGAAGATGCTGTGGGATTGATGATCACTCAATTATTGATAGTAGATTAAATTAACCTGGTAGTAGATTAAAAAATTGTACTTCTAGACTAGTAATTCCCAACGTGGGGCACACGCCCCACAGAAAAATCTATTTTTAAATTTAAAGGGGGGGCAAATTAAAAATTGCACGACTTTAACCCACTTGCTTTGGGTGATTTGAATGTAATTTGTAAATAATGTTAAAAATTCGTTAAATATTATGATTATTAGTTTAGTTTAAGTGAGCACAGGATGCATGTGCAAATCATATAATTTTTTCATATATATTTCCAGTGCTGGATTTACAGTAGGGGCAGTCGGGGCGCCCAGGGCGCAGATTTTCGGGGGCGGCAAAATTTGGATAGTGAGAAAAAAATGTTATAAAATGTAATTACCTAATTTTTTTAATAACATTTTTTATTCCAAGAAATATAATTAACAAAACACAATGCGATTGCAATGCAAAATTTGGATTCAAATAGCCGATTATTAAAACTTATTACTTTGCTTTGCCTCCCTCTCCGAACGTAAATTATCAAATTGGTTAATAAGTTATTATCAAATTTGGCAATCTGGCTAATATAAAGTTTAAAACTAGCTGAAAGTTAAAGAAAAATATGTTCTTCAGATCTCGAGCCCTCTTAGGACGACAAATTTGTGCACTTCAAAGCTTATAGCGCCTAGTTCAAAAAAATTAAACTAGTGACGCATGGCATTATTCCATTAATTACTACAAATTCCTGGAACTTCTCGTACTAAAAATTACATTTTATAAAGAGCTTCAAGATTTTTAGAAAAATGAAAAAATTGCCTTTTAAGAAACGTTTTTTATATGTATATTGACATTTTTTGAAAATTATGAACTTTTTTCAAAGCAATCGCGCTGCAAAAAATTTCAAAAATATTTTGAAATATAAAAAAAAGAGTGCGCGTAAGAATCACACGCGATTGAAGTAAAACTTATTTGCAATTATATTGTAGCAAATTTAAGTTGAGTAAAAATAAATACACCATATAAAAATTTTGTATAATGTTTATTAGTAATATGGTAACACTCGTGATGCACACATTTATTAGTGTCGTATCAGCTTATTGTTTTAAAGTTAAATTTTTAACGTATTTTAGAAGTATTGTTCAAAAATCAGTGAAAAATGCAAAGAAATTACACATTTCTTGTACAATATTGAAAAAAAAATTATTTTATTTGATATGTATTATTTCTGTGTAGTTAATAATTATTAAATTTAGAGTATGGACACCACTAGGTATAAACAAGCCTTAAGATTTTTGTTCAAACGTAAATTTTTCATATTTGTTCCACGCACATCTTCAACATTCAAAGTTCAACAGATGCGAAACATTTGCAACAAAAACAAAAGTTACAATTCAATTTCTCGGAACAAACAAACCATTTTCTAAGCACTGGCTCCCCATTTTTCATTTCTTCTATTATAATTAGTATATATTTCTTTAATAAGTACCGTTTCAAATAAATCAGCTCGCAATTTTTCATCAATAATGCCCAATAATTAATTTAAACTTTCGTGGGTTTGCGCTTAGGGGATGAACACTAGATAATTTTTTTTCGATTTTACGTTAACTTCAAACGAAGAAAAAATGTAATAAGTACATTTAACAATAAGCAAAACAATAATTTACTAACTTGTAGGGTTAAAAATCGGTTAATTGTTTCTACTGTATCACATTGCAAATTGAATATGCTTTTTGTGTCTCCGTATCCATAGTTAAGTTAGATTGTTTATTATAAACAATTAAAAATATATATATATTATAAATTTCATTCCGATCGCATGCAAGGCAGGACCGACTCTGGATGCGCACATTGGTGCACATTTAGGCTTCACTCTTGCATCGGAATACGGAATTGCGAGATGTACCTACTATACAATAAAAAATTCGTTTTAAAATTTTTTATATATTTGTTCTGATTTATTCTGATTTAAAATTACAAGAATTTTTTTTATTGTGCATTGTGAACAATTATAATTATGAAATAATTAGAATTACTACAATTACATGTAAGTTTTCACACCGTACCACTTTCTTATAAATTAGCTTTAATTAATAATTTCTATCTGTGCTTTCAAACTATAGTTTATATAGAGTCTCTATAGAGTCCACTGAAGATGACACAAAACAATGTGTCGAAACGTATGGAAACAATAAGAATGTTATAAGTTTATACAAGTTTTTAATTGATGTATTGCCTTGAAGACAGATTCTCACATATCTCTACATCAAAATTATTAAAATTTTAATATATATATATATTTATATTTAATATATATATATATATATATATATATATGTATCCGTTTACAACACTAATAACTTTATTAGAACAAATTGGTATAGAAAAACTACATGGTCGGGTAGATACTTACACTATTCCTCATACTGTCCCAGAAACTATAAGATAAACACTATTATTTCCCTTACAGACCATGCTATTTTGTTGTCTCACCAAACTTTCCATCCACAAAATTTATCCCTAGTAAAAATAACTCTAATTGAAAATGGTTACCCAAAAAATCTCATTCATTCAGTTATTCAAAAAAGACGAACTTTTTAAAAACAAAACAATTAAACTCATACCAGTACCAACATCAAAAACACCAATCTTATTACTGCAGCATACCATACGTTGAAGATTTATATTATTTTTTGCCAAAATTTTGTTAGAAGAAAACATTTTAGTATCAGGCTCATCCTTACACTCCTTCAACCAATTCTTTACGAACATTAAATCCCCTACCCCATCCAATTTCAATACTAATGTAGTATATTCTGTTTCTTGTAATGACTGTGCTTTTCAACATATTGGACAAACCTCGCAATATGTACACAAGAGAATGAGACAACATGAACTAAGTGTGGTCCACCATAAACAAAAAAATTTCAAAAGTACCCTAGTACAACACTCTATAGAAAACGCCCATTCATTTAATTTCACTCCAAAGATTTTATATCATGAAAGTTGCATCTTTAGGAGATTATTCGCGGAGAGTTGTCTTATTCTCATGAATGTTTCTAACAGTGTCAACATTAGATCAGGTCACAACCTATTACATGATTCATATTTAAATTTTTTACACTTTTTGACAAACAATTAATATCGACTTCCTTTTAAGTTCAATAATTTAGGTATTTACACCCTAACATGAAAAAACACACACATACAATCTCACAGTTCTCGTTTCAAGTGTTTACACGTGTTACATATGAACCACCAAATACAGTTAGTTCGTTTCCAAATGCCAATAGTATAACATCGAATACAATATTATTTGTTTTCAAATAATAATTTAAAAAAAAGACAACACTTTTAGTAATTTTGATTTACAAAAGTTAACTACTCGGCGGAAAAATAACTCACAAATTCATTTTTTGTCAAAAATTCTTGTTTAGTGAAAAAGTGCTAACGTATATTCAAACATACATGTAATTAATTCAATTTATCATTAACCCTTTCTTAAAATAATTTTCCATAAAATTTCTATCATTTTTAATATCCTGTTCTGATAATCCACTCATTTATTTTTATCATTTTCATTTTGATCATATTATCATATTTCTGTACATTATTATTTGTTACAATTAATTTATTATTTAAGAAAAATCTATTTTCTATTCCTAAACATATTGTTTGCTTAAATCTCATCAAGATCATTTTCTTGACAGATGTCCTGAAGATGGAACGTACCTAGTTCCGAAACGTTGACAGTAAACAAATAATTAAATAAAGAAATTGTTTATCAAAAACTTTTCTTGTTTTTTATTTTGTATTATTTTTGGATTCTTGTTCGAAACTCTACAAAATATATATATATTATTCTGTAATCACAAATATATTTATTATTTATTGTTTTTATTAAAGCACTACGTGCTATTTGAAGGTTATCCGAAGTCCTTGCTGTTAGATTTTGGAATCACGTTTTGTATTCAATTATTTAGTATATAAGAAGTAGTTAAGATTTAGTTAAGCAGTCAGAAATCAGAAGTCAAGTCAGAAGTCAGGAGAAGTCAGAAATCAGGAGTCAAGTCAGGCTTACTGTTTAGATCTTTATTTAAAAATGTAGTCTCTGATTATTGATAACCAAAAGGTTATCAAACAAATTATTTAATTGTAAAAATAGTAAACAATAAAATATCAAGATCAACCAAGAACTAGTGTTTTATCTTATCAACCGCTCAGATCCAGCTACCAACTAATCTCCCATAATCACAGGAGTGATACAAACAGGAAGATTTCAAATTTTGCCGCCGAAAAACTCGCATTTAAAATGTGCTCAATGTTGTCCAACCTGATGACTTGTTCATGAAAACAAAATGGAGAAGAAATATCAAAGTGGTTTATGGAATTATTAAAGATAAATTTAGTAAAAAGGTCAGTGTTTGCATTATATCATATTAAACAATAAACGAATCAGTAAATATCGAAACGCATATATTATTATACACTTAGACTTCTCAATTTTTAAGAACTCATCACCAGTTTATTTATTATAACCTACAAACTTCAAACATGTCTGAAGAAACAAATTCAAACAAAACAATTAAAACCGAACCGATCGATGATTATCTTCAAGTTAAACAGGAATTCGATGATTATGAAAATACATTAGATTTGTATATGGATGATGATATATGTCTGCAGCAGTTTCTAAAATCTGAGGTTACAATTGATGAGGAAATAAAACAAGAGACGACTGATGACCAACATGATGTGACTAGTATAAATAAAACAGTTTTAGATGAAAATTCTTCTGTATGTAACGACGAGATCAGTGAATCAAGTACGATAGTCGATAGTACAAACAAAACATTAGAAAAAGTTTCAGGAAAAGATAAGACAACTAGTAAGTTTAAATACAAATGTAAATCATGCAGTAAAATATTTGTATCCAAACGTAACTTGAAACAACATGAAAGGATCCATACTGGAGAACGGCCTTATGAGTGTAAAATATGCAATAAAACATTTTTGCAGTCAAGTACTTTAAGACAGCACTTATCAGTTCATACTGGAGAACGGCCTCATGAGTGCAAAATATGCAATAAAAGATTTGCACTGATAGTTAGTTTAAGAAAGCATTCATCAGTGCATACTGAAGAACGCGCTTATGAATGTGAAATATGCAATAAAAAATTGAAAACAAAACAAACATTAACTCAACATAAAATAGTACATACTGGGGAACGGCCTTATGAGTGTAATATATGCAATAAAACATTTTCACAGTCAAGTAGTTTAAGACAGCATTTATCAGTGCATACTGAAGAACGACCTTATCCATGTGATATATGCAATAAAAGATACAAAACAAAAGATATATTAATGCGACATGAAAGAGGACATACTTGAGAACAAACTGTAAAAAAACTGCCAACAAAACTGATAAATTAGCCTAGAAACTGTCTGGCCGTATAATTCTTATCAATCGCTCAACTTATATTGATACACAGGATATTAAATGCAATTTATTTAATATATATTTCAGTTACAACTATGGTTGTTACTCCTAACCACTAGTCTTGTATGTAATTATTTACTAATATAAATACATAGTGCAAATGCTATTTATTTCTGTTTTATTCAAAACATTACTATTTTTGTTCTTCAATTCTTCAATATTCTTAGTAAAACTCCTTTAGGCGCTACTAGGGTGTAAATCTTTGCAAATGCAATGGAAGACGTTACGGCCGAGTCGAGTGCCAATGATTCGTTGTAATGAGTGCAATGCCCCCAAACTTTTTAATCCGGCCCTGGTTCTAGTAGAAATCTTGATTTAATAAAACATGTCTGAATCGGTAGAATAATTTATCCCGTCTTCAGTAAATAATTTTAATGAAAATAATTAAACAAATGAAAAATCTGTGCCGTGTAAGAAATGTAAGTTTATTGAAATAATATCTTTATTATTCGTGGTTAATATATATTTTTAGAAATTATTTTCATAGACAAGAAGGCCAGTTCATTTTATGGATTGATTCTGATCTGGTTTTATAAATTTGCGGATCATTTTCTAATCAAACTCATTATTCTTGGGAGTCACATTGAAAATTTTATTGATGTATCATATGTTTAAATAAAAATTATCAAATTTATAAGCTTTTTTGAAGAAATATTAAAGCTCTATTCATTTTTTAAAACTTTGTCAAGAGGAATCGTACATACAAGTACAATTTTATTTTAAATATTAAATAAACCCATGGCGAACTAACATAATATATTAATTGTTATTTAGTGATCATTTCTCTGTTCGTATATAAAAATATTTTTTCTCTTAAATAAAATTGTATAGAATAAAACTGAATCCTTAACTGACAATTTCGTATGCTTATGTCCAATGATTATTTTTGAATATCAATTGGCATATTTTTCATGTAAATGAAATTTTTATCATTAGAAAAAAGTATGTATGCATGTGTTTGTTCGATTGCAATTTTTAATTTTCGGAGGTACAGAGCGCAAAGGGTGCAAAAATGCAGTTTTTGAGAGTACAGATTATCCGATTGGAATGATTCAAGAAATATTTTCTTGATAAAATATTGTGTTGATGGTATAAAGATAAGTTTTTAATAACAAGAAAGAAGGATAACATATCACAGAATTGGCCCCTATATTTATTATTAAATTTTTCATTATTAATTATTCTTTATATATATATATATATATATATATATATATATATTTGTCCTCCCCTCAAATATTTTTGTATATTGAGGTTTTACATTTTTTGTTGAAATTAATAATAATTTCTAATTTCAAATTTTGCGGCCGAAAAACTCGCATTTAAAATGTGCTCAATGTTGTCCAACCTGGTCACTTGTTCATGAAATGAAAACAGAAAACAAGTATCAAAGTGGTTTATAGAATTATTAAAGTTAAAATTCGAAGATAAACTTAGTAAAAAGGTCAGTGTTAGCATTATATCATATTAAACAATAAACGAATTAGTAAATATCGAAACGCATATATTATTATACACTTAGACTTCTCAATTTTTAAGAACTCATCACCAGTTTGTTTATTATAAACCTACAAACTTCAAACATGTCTGAAGAAACAGATTTTAACAAAACAATTAAAATTGAACCGTTCGATGATTATCCTCAAGTGAAACAGGAATTCGATGATTGTGAAAATACATTAGAATTGTATATGGATGATGATATATGTCTGCACCAATTTTTAAAATCTGAGGTTACAATTGATGAGGAAATAAAACAAGAAACGATTGATAACCAACATGATATGACTAACACAAACAAAACAGTTTCATATGAAAGTTCTTATATATGCGATGAAGAGGTCAATAATTCATGTAATTTAGTCGATAGCACAAACAAATCATTTGAAGGAGTTTCAGCAAAAACTAAAACAACTAATAACTTGAAACCATATAAATGTGAATCATGCAATAAAACATTCACAGCAAAACAAAACTTACAAAAACATGAAATGATTCACACTGGGGAACGCCCTCATGAGTGCAAAATATGCAATAAAAGATTTTCACAGGCAGGTAATTTAAGAAAGCATTTATCAGTGCATACTGAAGAACGCGCTTATGATTGTGAAATATGCAATAGAAAATTCAAAACAAAAGAAAACTTAATTAAACATAAAGTGGTCCACACTGGAGAACGGTCTCATGAGTGCAAGATATGCAAAAAAACATTTTCACAATCAAGGAATTTAAGACAGCATTTATCAGTGCATGCTGAAGAACGACCTTACGCATGTGATATATGTAATAAAACATTCAAAATGAAAAAAATTTTAAAACAACATAAAGCGGTCCATTCTGGAGAACGCTCTTATGAGTGCAAAATATGTAATAAAACATTTTCACGGTTAAGTCATTTAAAATTACATTCATCAGTGCATACTGAAGAAAGACCTTATGAATGTAAGACATGCAATAAAACATTCAAAACAAAACCTGCATTAGTGCGACATGAAAGAGGACATACTAGAGAACAAACTGTAATTAAAAAGTCAACAAATTAGTTGAATAAATCTGGAAATTGTCCCACCTTATCTATTACACAACTTATATTGATACCGCATATTAATTGCAATTTATTTAACATGTATATATTTAAGTCACAACTTTGTTTGTTACTCATAATCAGTGTATTGTATGTAAGTGTTTAATAATATAAATACATAGTACAAATTCTATTTATTTTTGTTTTATTGAAAACCCCTAGTATTTTTGTAAAATTCTACAATATCTATTATTATTAACTTTACAAAGCAAAATATAAGAATGATTTAAAGGGGCTGTACTGCAATATTTAATTTGTTCCTTAATATATTTTAAGATAAAACTTTTTAGGCGAAACTAGGGAGTAAATCTGTGAAAATGCAACGGAAGTGCGTTACGCTCGAGTCGAATGCCAATGATTCGTCATTCGCTCTCGGTGATATCATTTCAATACGGGTCGATTGCGATTGGTCGTCGTGTCGCGTGAGTATGATTGCTTTAATTGTATGAAAATAATAAAACAAATGAAAAATCTGTGCCGTGTAAGAAACGTAAGCTTATTGAAGTAATTTGTATTTGTGTATTTTTTTTTTATTTATTTATTTATTTGATATAATTCGTACATACTGTATCTCAGTCAGACAATTGTACTGGCATGAGAGATCACAGCAATTATAACAAAAATAAAATCTAAATTTTATGTAACAGACTTACATTTTAAGACATCTATATATTTTTACTTTTTACTATTATACATATATATATATATATATATATATATATATATATATATACACAGAACACTTGCGTACATACATACGTGGTTACTATATATTTTAGAAATTATTTCTATGGGCAAGACCAGTGCTGAATTAACCCATAAGGGGCGACAACTTTTTTAGAATGTCAAAATTTTTAACCAGATAAAATGTCAAGATAATTCATATTAAGGATTGATTCTGATCTGGTTTTATAAATTTGCGAATCATTTTCTATGAAATAGAGTAATTCATTTTCTAATCAAACTTATTATTCCTGGGAGTCACATTGAAAATTTTATTGATGTAATGTATTTTTAACTTCCCGTAGGGTAAGTTATAGTAATGGGCCGGAAATCGAAAATGAAAATTTTTGCATTTCTCGACGTTTTGAAGGTTTCTGAACATTTTTAAGGGGCATACATCAGAAACTAAATGGATGTGTGTGTGTGTGCGTGTATGTGAACAGATTTTTTGCCGTAAATCGACGTTTTCTCAAAAAACGACTGGACCGATTTTAAAAATTTAAAAGCCATTCGATGTATTTCGATGAGGACTAGCGTTTATCAGTTCTGCGATACGCTCTGCCAAGCCGTTTCTTTGTAATTTGGAAAAAAGTGGTAAACATTTCGTCCACATTTGAGCTCATTCTACCTAATAGATTTTAAAAAATCGAAAACTGTTCGAAAGATATTAGTTGGAAATGATACTGATTAGTTTTAGGTAAAAATCTACCGAGCCGTTTTCTTGTAATTAATTGCTGAAAACGAAATTTAAGCCGATTTTTGTGAAACTTTCTTTGGTGATATATATCATGGTCTTACAGAACTTACTGAAATATTACGGCCTTACGACAAGTAGTTTAATTTTAAAAATTCGTCAAACTTTGCTAAAATTATTATCGTTTTTTTAAAGTAGGATTGATGAAGTATATTATTTACACATTTTTTTTGATTAAGTCGATTATTTACACATATCGGGAAGTTCATGTAACTTGCCTCAAGGCCAAATACCAAACCAACTAGTTTTTTACTTTTTCGTTGGCTATATAATCTCATGTTTTGATCAGCTGTAATATCTGTCTTGCCTAAAAAATATTTTCCATTTTAATAACTTTAAAGTTTCATAGAAACTACGAATAATATAGAAATAATTTCTAATCAATAAACTTACGTCCAGTACATGGAACAAATGTTTAACCTTTTCCACTCGGGAATTCCGAGATTTACATGATATATGCCGCCGGAGCGTCGGCATCCGAGTGGAAAGGGTTTATTTGTTTTATTATTTTCAAGAAACAGGGTAAAATATTTTTCTGATTCAGACATTTTTCATTAAATCAAGATTTGTACTACGATGTAACTTTAAACTGTTTATACGCATACAACGACAGATCTCTATTCACATACACGACGACTAACCACAATCGACCCGCATTGAAATGATTTCATCGAAAGCGAATGACGTGCAGTTCGGGCGTAACGCTATTTCCGTTGCATTTGTACAGATTTACACCCTAGTCGCGCCTAAGGAAGTTTTACTTCAATAAAACAAATACTCAAACTTCGACTTTAATTTTACAGTCCACATAATGTTACCAACTTTGTTAGAAGACATATATATTTTTATATATCAATAAAAAGGTAATAAATTTTTTATAAAATCGTGAAACAATAACTACACATTGCTATATTGAAAATAAAACAAATACCTAAACTTTTACTTTCATTCTACAGTCCATGTAATGGAACCAAAGTAATGTAGTATTTACTGTATATTTCATACAATTTATACATTTATTACTACATGCAAAAAAATTTCACAATATTTGAATTTAAGTGAACAAATAATGCTTATGTTTCATTGATCTTCACCACGCTTCTGACTGTGAAATGCCATGTGTCTCTTCAAGTAAATTCCTTATTACATACTTCACATTTATATGAAGGCTCTCATTTATGAATCAGCATATGTTTTTTCATATGACCTCTTTCTGTGAATGTTTTTTTTGGCGAACTCCAGTGTGAACGATCATGTGACGTTTCAGACTACCTCTTTCTGTGAATGCCTTATTGCATATATTGCATTCATAGGGACGTACTCCACTGTGTATCAGCATGTGACTTTTCAGATGACCTGATTGTGTAAATTTCTTTTTGCATATATTGCATGCATGGGGGCGTACTCCATTATGAATGAGCATGTGTTTCTTCAGATCACCTGCTCGCATGAATGCCTTTTTGCATACATTGCATTCATGAGGACGTGCTCCAATGTGTATCAGCATGTGACTTTTCAGATTGGATAATAGTGTGAAAGTCTTATTGCATATACTGCATCGATAGGGTCGCTCACCTCTGTGAATAAGCAGGTGACTTTTCAGATTACATAATAGTGTGAATGTCTTATTGCATATACTGCATTCGTGGGGTCGCTCACCTCTGTGAATAAGCATGTGCCTTTTCAGACTACCTAATTGACTGAAAGTCTTATGACAGATTTTGCATTTGAAAGGACATTCTTTGATTTTGTTAGGAATATGATCGGCCATATGCTCTTTTAAATGATTTGATTCTGCAAATGATCTATTGCAAAGGTCACATTCATAAGTTGATGTCTCAACTAACTCCTGTTTGACTTCTTCTTCAATTGTCACTTCGGAATTCATAAATCTTTCTAAACACGTATCATCATCTTCAGCACACAATTCAGATTTAACAACAACGTCGGAATCATCAAAATCAACCTCTATTTCGAGTTTAATGTCTTCTGGTGAATATTCTGGTGGTTCAATTTTAACTGCCTGATCATTCATAGACGTAATTGTTTCCTCCGACATTTTTAAATATTGTCACAAAAAAAATAGTTTTGTACTAAATAATAGTCTAGTTTTATCAATAATTTTTCTGAATGTGATAAAAAAATTTCAACTTTTACATTATTATTTGAGAAGCTAAGAATTTGACGGAAATTTGACACTTGCTAAGAGTGCAAAATCCATAGATAAAAGAAGAGTATTCAAGCAGTGTTGCCAGGTCCACCATAGAGAAAAACTGTAGATAGGCCAGAAAAAAACTGTAGAAAACTGTAGATTTCAAATTGAAAAACTGTAAATCTACAGCTTCATCATTAAATGATGGTAATATTATATAGTTATAATAGAATATTTATAGCAACTAACAAAATATAACATTAGTGGTATTTTTGAAAAAAAAAAGTTCTAAGCAATTATGATCTCTGGCGGTTTTGTATATTCATTCAGCCCAAACATCGTTACCTATCAAAAAGCGATAATTCTTGAATATAGGTTTTCCATCGTAGCTTACACAATATATAGTATATTTTATTAATTATTTATTATTTCATGTTATTATTAGTAAAGATAGATGTGAATCAAACTTAAACTAGTTGAGTATTAAATAAAACAAAATGCAATGAATAATTTTATTTAAAATATTGATTATTTAGATTATATATTACATTCGTAAAGGTTGAAAATATTACCATTTGATAATAATATGCTTTCAACGCATTAACAAATCAGTTGGTTTTCAACTTTAAATTTAACAATCTATTTTTTGTGTCGACAAATCGATTTAGATTGACTTATGGCCCACTCCACTGCACGAACGCGCACGGCAAATCCTGTTTTTGACATGCGCGTGGTTTGCTTTTGCTTGCAAAATTTCTGTCTGCGCACTTTGCGAACAGATTCGCCGTACGAATTCGTGCAATGGAGCGGGCATAGTCATATTAAAATAGACATTATACATATAATATATAGAGTAATTTATAAAAATAAAAGTAATTTATAAAAATATTCCTGTTGGGATTATAAGCTTGAAGATGATTATCAAAACCATATCAAAACATTTCTTTCTAAAATTTTACGACGGGAAAAATTCCTTATGCTGCAAGTATCACCTTAAATTAGTTCAATTTAATATCATTGATTAAAACACATGATTAATTAGTACACAACCGTTTTCTCTGTTATAATCAGGTAAAATATCTTATAATGTCAGAAGAAAAAACTACCTCGGTTAAAATTGAACCACTAGAATATTCAGCAGAAGATCCTCAAGATGAAGAGGATATTAAGTCGGAATCTTGTTCAGAGAATGGAGAAACATGTCTGGAAAGATTTATGAATTCTAAAATAACTGTAGAGGAAGAAATCAAACAGGAATTAATGCAGGCTCCTATAAACCCTTTCGTATGCACAATATGTGATAATGCATTTGCTTTAAGACACCATTTAG